ACGTGGCCAGCACGCCATGCCGCAGCCTGCCGGGAGCCTTAGGGTCTGCAGCCAAACCCCATGGGGTTGAGGGTTTAGGGTGCACACGTTTATTTGAAATACTTTAAGTCCCAAGTTTTCCGTAGTTAGGCACATGAACTCTTAGGGTGTGTGTTTCATGTGTCAGAAAATGCAGATGTCCACGTGAACTAATAAAGCAGGGCTTGAATATTTCGCATTCTAAGTTGCAGGATATACGGCACATATGAGAAGCACGTCTATGAGAGCCCGCTGCCTGTGTCAAGTCTCAGAAGATTAAACCTCAAACCTCACCCTAAACTTTTATCCCAAGTAGAACCCTATCAGAGTACTTAAGAGGCTTAGATGTGGGTTATAACTACACTTGTAATGGGTTACTAAGTACCTGAACCAAAGTAGGGTCGGATACCTGTGTAGTATATACTTCGGCCTTAAAGAGGGTTCCTATATAGTAGCTTTAGGGCCCAAGTATATACCCTAAAGCCTAAACCCGATATGGGGACATGGACCCTGAGGGGTCAGGGCCTGCTTCCCAGGTGTCTGTCTCCTACTCGTGCAAGGAGTTTCGGGAGGCCGCGCCACGTGGGGTTGGTTTGGGGTTTGGGGTTTGGGGTTTGGGGTTTGGGGTTTGGGGTTTAGGGTTTATATGGTTTATGTTTTAGGGTTTAGGGTTTAGGGGGGCAGTCAGACGTCGGCTACAGTATCTACGTGGGATCCTGGGCTTTTTGGATATACCTGTTAATCTCCCTTGTGTACGCCTAGTGTCTCCATTGTAGTTCCTTTTTGGGTTAACCAGATTTAGGGTCTACGGGGTTCTAAAAAACACAGATATATATATATATATAGAGAGAGAGAAATAGCTTAACCCAAAACAGGAACTACAATGGAGACTATATAGTTTTCTTTTAGCTTTCAAGAAAACTACACCTAAACCCTGAACTCTATAACTTAAAACCATAGAAACCCTAAACCCGAAACCCGAAAGATACACACATGCCGAACAAAGGAGCCGGCGTTCGAGAATCCCGTTGCGCTGGGTGGGCCATCATGCCTTTCACGGCTTCTTGGTGAGGTCTCCATGTTATCATATAGGGTTCAGAAGTTCGGGTTTCTAGGGTTCAGGGTTTTTAATATTTAGGGTCGAGGGTGTATAGGGTTTCTTAAGGGACATAGGGTCAGATAGGGTTAGGACTTAAGTTATAGGGGAAGGGGGGGGGGGGGGTTCGAGGGGGGGTAGGTAACCCAAGGTTCCCCAACACTCCCCAAAACTCCCTAAAACTCCCTAAGCTTCTTTAAGGCCCTCAGGTTCCCTGGGTACCTATACCCCCCTTGAACCCGCCCACCCAAGAACCCGATAATTAAGCACGTATCTTTTTGCAAGCACATGCTCGCTATCTAAGGCAGCAGAGAGGAGATTGGAGGATGGATGGGCGCTTGAGGACTTCCGGGCTCGAAGGTTTGTACTGCTGCTCCTCAAACCCCATATAAGCAAACCCTATTATGCTTGAGGGCTTCTGGCCTCTAAGCCAAAGCGATCCTAGGGTTTAGGGTTTATAGGGTTTAGGGTTTAGGGTTTTAGGCCTGTTTCGGCTCTGGTTTTCCTTAGGTGTTGGCATTATTTTAGGATAGGGGGATAAAAAACATAAATATAAAGGCGAGATAGGGTGTTTTTGGGGGTTGCTAGGGTTTAGGATTTAGGGTTTTAGGGTTTAGGGTTTAGGGTTTGGGTCTAAACCTTAAACCCCAAACCCTAAACCCTAAACCCTACACACACAAAGCATAACCTATACACCCTATATCCCTGCTCAGGACCCAATGGGGCCCTCCGATGCCCTGGTGGGTGCAAGCACGTGTACAGATTTGGTTGCAGACTTACTTAGACTGAACATATGTTGTAGGTGTGTATATGTCTATATGTGTACACCTACTATACATGGGTTTGAACGATATAATGGCTCGGGGTGAAGGGCTGTGTAATGTATATATATATATATATATATTAAGTATAGCCATTGTATAGTTCCTTTTCTTGAAGGACCGAAGGCACGTCTCAGTCGCCGGCTGTGCAGACAAAATGAAGAAGTAGAACCTTACATGCCTCAACCCTCACCTAAAACCTCCCCTGAGTCACAAGGGTAGAAATCCAGGGTCGTGTCTCAGGACTTTGTAGAAGAGATGGGTGGTCCCTAAAACCTACACCCTAAACCCTAAATCCTAAACTCCTAAACCCCGAAACCCTTAAACCTTAAACCCTAAACCCTAAAGCTCGAGATCTCGTGAAAATAGGGTTTAGGGTTTAGGTTTTAGGGTTTAGGGTTGAGAGGGTTCAGGGTTTAGTTGTGCCCCTGCCCCCAACCCCGAACCGTGACCACGCGAGATATCGCGAGAATAGGGCCCGGTCCCCCGAGATCTCGCGAGATTCCGCGAGATCCTGTGTTTCTCCTCTTAGGGGTGTGGTTGTTTCTTTTCGGGGCTAGGATGTGCAAAGATTGACGCGAGATTGTCGCGAGATTTACGCGAGATCTCGGGAGAATACGCGTGAAAGTGCGTGATAATTTCGACCCCGAAAACCCCACCCTGATCTCGACCCATGGACCCCAAGTCACCTCAAAAACAACCCTTCTCTTAACACCGTGTATAAACCCTCGACCTAACCCTAGATACATCCTGTAAACCCCCATTCTGTAAACCCAAAACCCTCATAAACCCGAAACCCCTTTGTGCCCCTTTGCGCTCGGGGTCTTGGGTCTTTAGAAGAGATGGTCTATATATGGGTGTTCTCGGTTCGAGTGACTATAAACCCTAAACCCTAAATATAAACCCTAAACCCCACCCCTTGTCCCAGCCACTCCTGGTGAAAGGAGACGCTGAGAATGAAGAAGGCGCAGCAGGCTGGCCATCGTGGGCTGCAGGGTTTTTTTAGGGGGGGTCCTGGGCTGCAGGGGTTTTGGCATCGATAGTCTCCATTGTAGTTCCTTTTTTTCTGTTAATATATTGTATATAATATATAGACTTAGGTTAACCCAAAGAAAAAAACTACAATGGAGACTATAGGGAAGGTAGGGGTTGGGCTCGGCAGTTCTTCTGTCATTGCAGGGTTAAGGGGCTTCGTGGGCTGGAGGGTTTTTAGCCATACTATATCTTCCCGACTTAAGGTACATGCTCCCTATAGATATAGAGCCCAACTCTTCGAAGCCCTATGTTGCCCTTGCCTGTTGTTGCTCGACCCTATACAAGGCCAGAAAAACCATCTATAGATCCCAATCCCTATAATTTAATAACCCAAAATACCCTAGATAATATAGTATATATAATATATACCCCCCAACCTGTCGAATCCTTGTATATTATGGGATCCCCCCAAGAATGTAGGAAACCCCTACAACTATAAAACCCAAGCCCTATATACTTGTAGTGCCCCCTGGTCCATGAAGCCCCTGACATAGCCCTTTATTTAACTGCAAAAACCTAACCCCAACCTTGTGGCGCCTCGCAGGATCCAATGTGGGCTCCAAAGCATCGACGTGTCTCCCGGGCTGTGGTTTGCTGGGTTTAGGGTTTGGGGCTTAGGGCTACATTGTGTATATATATATATATATTATATTATGGCGTTTAGGGCTTGGGTTTGCAATGCTTCGGTTTACCGGGCTTTAGGGGGGGTGTATATTGACATCGTCATATATGTCTAGTATACAAAGATATATATATATATATATAGAATTCTGCTATCGTGGTGTCTACAGTTCATACAAGCAGAAGAATTCTGCTTTACAGGGCTGAAAGAGAGAAACAGAGCTATTGGGGTTCTGTGTGGCCTCAACGCCTTCTGCTTGTGTGCAACGCATCCTACGTCGATTGGCTCAGTCTTATTTTGCAACGGATGATTGATCCGAAAGCCGGGTTGGACCTGAAGGGTGTTTCGCAATAGTGGTCGTGCACCACTTTCGTGGACGCTTGCAAGCTCATGGAGAAGCAAGGTGATGCAACCTTTGCCTTTTGGCCTTGCATGTATCGAGTCTCCATTGTGGTTCCTTTTTTGGTTAACCATTTTTGAGGTTGGGATCCTACACAATATAGAGAATTTGCTTAACCAAAAAATGGAACCATACCATGGAGACTATAGTTTTGGGGGTTTAGGGTTTAGGGTTTAGCGCCTGGCGGTTTACGGTTTATAGGGTTTATAGGGTTTATAGGGTTTACAGGGTTTATAGGGTTTATAGGGTTTATAGGGTTTATAGGGTTTATAGGGTTTATAGGGTTTATAGGGTTTATAGGGTTTATAGGGTTTATAGGGTTTATAGGGTTTATAGGGTTTATAGGGTTTATAGGGTTGAGGGTTTAGGGTTTAGGGTTTATAGGGTTTAGGGTTTAGGGTTTCGTGGCTCAGGTCAAGCCAGAGAGGGGACTTCCCCCTGGCGGTGACATTTTCCATGGCTTGGATGTGAGTATGCTTTCACCCCAAACCCAGCAGATGGCCAGAAGCTTAAAGAACAAAGTGGCTGCAAGGGCCATAGTGGAGGAACTTTGTGCCGGCCGTTCGAGCAGCCCTGCCAGCCCCTTTGCCTCCTACCAGGGTAGATAATTGGTTTCCATATGTATCTGTAAACACTGATGTATATATATATACACACATTATATGTATGTACACATATGATCTATGTACATATATATAAAAGGCACAGATATATAGCACATGTTTATAGGGTTTGGGGGTTTAGAGGGTGTAGGGTTTTATAAGATCTCGCGGTTTATAGGGTTTAGGGTCTGCCTTCCTCAGGTACTACATCTGCCCCAAGCTTGCAGTCGGAGGCCATGTGTGTTGCGAACGGTGTGGCTCTTCGTGTGAAGCAAGAGAAGGAGGAGAGAATGACGGCCCGAAGGACAACCCCACCGGAAACCAAGGCCCCTGTGTCTCCCTTTCAAAATAGATGTAGCTGTGTGTCCGTATGCTTCTGTGCTTGCTGTTATGAAAGGAAGCCGAGATGACGCGGCTGGAACGAGAGTCCCAAGAAGCTCTGGATCGCGCCAGAATGATGCGAGACTGCTCGGCCCGAGAACTTGCTGAGGCTGAGGAGGCTGTCAAGTCCGCAGACCGTCAGAAGGAGTTTCTGCGAGCTATGGCTGAGGCCGAGACACAGCCTGACCATTTCTCGCCTTGTGGCACACGGTCGGAGAACCTCGAACGTGAGACGGGGTCTTTCCTGAAGAAGAGCCGGTCCTCTGCATCCTTCTCACCGAGCCTCGACCCCACCCAACTGTCCATGAAGGAAGCCTTGAAGCGCCAGAAGACCAAGAGCTTGGCCGAGCAGCAGCTTCGCGAGATGGAGGAAAGTCGTCGCTTGAGGGCGCGGCAAGAAGCTGAGGCCCAGGAGCTTCGTGAGAGAGAGGCTCGTCGCTTGAAGGAGCAGCAAGAGGCAGAAGCCCGTGAGAGGGAAGCGCTTCGTCTGAGGGAGCAGCAAGAGGCTCGGGACAAAATGCTTCGTTTGAGGGAGCAGCAAGAGGCAGCAGCTCGTGAGATGGAGGCACTTCGTTTGAGGGAGCAGCAAGAGGCTCGGGACAAAGAGCTTCGTTTGAGGGAGCAGCAAGAGGCAGAAGCTCGTGAGATGGAGGCCCTTCGTTTGAGGGAGCAGCAAGAGGCTCGGGACAAAGAGCTTCGTTTGAAGGAGCAGCAAGAGGCGGTAGCTCGTGAGAGGGAGGCACTTCGTTTGAAGGAGCAGCAGGAGGCTCGGGACAAAGAGCTTCGTTTGAGGGAGCAGCAAGAGGCAGAGGCCAAGACCAAGGAGCCTGGTGAGGGGCTCACTGATCCGAGGTTGCTGGAGTTACGTCGCAAGCATGAGATGCTGGAGGGACATGTTGCTCAGAGGGAGTCCGCACATCATGCTCTCAAACGCCAACTCAGCGACAGCCCTACTTCCCCCGGCTGCACATCTCAGAAAAGCTCAGAGGCAGCTCGTTCCTTCCAACGTCTCAGTCTTTCTCGAAGTCAGACTAGTCTGGAGGCCGAGAGCATGAACCAATACATGCAGGACATCGCCAGCGAGCATTGCACTGAGGAGGAGAAAAGCTCGAAACGACGCAAGCTCGAGGCCGAGCTGGTTCTTGCACAGGCTGACAGGATGAGGGAAGCTGCTCTAGCACAGCTCAGGCTGGAGCAGGAGCTCGCTGCAGCATTGTCAACAGAGCCCCTGCAGCAGGCCCCCACACCCCCTTCCAGCACCCAGCAGCCTCCCCAGAAACATGGCCCTTCTTCCCTCACACCCAAGCAGCTTCAAGAAGCCGAGGACCAGGCCACTGAGGCCATGAAAAGGATGGCCCCACGTTTTGCCGACAGGTTGTCGGATGTGTCAGATGGTGAAGAACGCAAGGAGATGCTCTCAGAAATGCTTCTCAAAGTTTACGAGTCCCACTTGGAAACGACGATGGCTGCGATGGAAGAAGAGAACTTGAAGATGAGTCAGCTAAGGCCACAGCCTGCCCAGGACATCCAGAATATATATGTACATACATATATATATATATATATTCTGCATTATATATATATATATATTTATTTATTTATTTATTTACTGATTTAAAATCTACACAGGGTCTTGTTATATGTAAAAACACATAAACTCTATATATATATATGTATACATCTACCTATAATTATTTGTTTATATGCATATATATACATATCCCTCAGGCACAATGTATCTCTTTCTACACATTATACATTCAAAAAGGTACTCTGTGTTCATTTACAAAGGAATTATAAAAATGAATCAATAAATAAATATATATATATATGTATATTGATAAATGTGTAGATGTTTTTTGAAATGGCTATATGTCTTTTTAAAATTCAACCTGAAGGAACTCGAGCCGCTGCCCTCGTCTGGGAATGTCGAGTCGCAGCGGGGTGTTGCATCTACGAAGGGGAAGTCCCCCGCGGGAAGACTGGAGGATGGCACCCTGCCAGAGCAGGTGGGGACTGCTGACCTCAATTGTGTACCGGAACCATTGCATAGGATTGCTTTCTGTGTGTTTATGTATAATGTGGGCAGGACCCGCAAGCTGTCATCAACAGTGCCACGCACAAACTAGCATGGAACTGCCTCTATCGCATGGTGCAGCTGAATAGCCGGGGCGATTTACGTGTGGACAGAGATGTCTACGACAAATGGCACAGTGGCTTGCCTGTGAACTATCTACAGTATACACCCCGCTCAGTCTGACTTACATGTATCAGGAATAATACGTATACATATGTATATATTACTATCTATGTCTTTTGTATTTTGGTATGTCTAAAGTCTAAACCCTAAACCCTGAACCCTAAACCCTAAGCCCTACACCCTAAACCCTAAATCCTAAACCCTAAACCCAAAACCCTAAACCGCTCTGCAGGCAAAGAAGCTGGTGTGAAGGACCAGCTGTTCAGGGACTTCGTTCAGAAATGCTACAAGGAAAAAGATCCAGAAGGAAACAAGGTACGAGTCTGCATTCTTTTATAAGTGAATCATGTATACTTCTATATAAATAGGGTTGATAGTTTAGGGTTTAGGGTTTTTAGGGTTTAGGGTTTAGATGACTTTTCATGTTCGTTTCTTTCAAAAGAGCACTTGGGCAGATGCGTTTGGAGAAGCTCATTACGTACCGACGAGAGAAGATCCGCCAACAGAAATCCAATGTCATCAGAGCATGGTGGACGGAGACTGACATGACCAAGGCCGAGTGGCCAGAGCACCTTGTCTAAGACCTTGGCTCATGAGGGTGTGGCTGTGTATACGCCTGCGTGCCATGTCTTGCTAAACCCAGGCAAAAGAGGGCTGGTGCAAAGAAGTACTGCGCAGCCCGTGGCCTCGTCAAGCTTGGAGCTTATACGTGTTGAAACAGACAGGTGCATTTCTGGATTTTTTCTATAGAGTTTAGATTTTTTTGGGACACATGAAGGAAGTGCAAGTATGAGAACGTGGACAAGTTCTTGGTGGAGATAGAAGATCGTGTGGACGATGAGAGTTTGTACTTACTCCGCCTTCAGGAGGAAGTTGCTGCTGCATCTGGCGAGTTGCCCGAGGACTTCGGTGGTTTCAATCTCGATGCGCCTTTGGACGACATGCACAGAGACCTGGACGCAGGGCCCGCTGAGGCCTTCCAAGACCACAACAAGGTGAAACTTGAGCAGTTTCCCGAGATCGAGGAGGGCATGTTGACTGCTCGCATAAAAAAATACAAAGATGCGGCGCTGGCTCGGAAGCAAAGGCTGAAGAGTACTGAAGATCGCTTGACTTTGGAAGGCTCAACCGGTCATGAGAGCTTCGGCTGCAAGAACATATTTAGTGGATTGAACGACATGTGCTTTACACATAAAAGAGTTGAAAAAAGAGATATATATATATATATATGTAGGTTTATATATACTTGATATACAGATAAAAAACGTTGTAAATAAACTAAACCCTAAACCCTAAACCCTGAAACCCTAAACCCTGAACCCTGAACCCTAAACCCTAAACCCTAAACCCTAAACCCTAAACCCATACCGAGGTCAGATTTGGCGAAGTTGCAAGCCAGCATGAGCGACGTGGCTGCACATTTTCCGTACCCAGCACCGAAGCAAACATAAACAAATGTATGTCTTGTTACATGTATATATATATATATTTTTTTTCTTCTTTGCAACTTCTGAGGCGAGCTCTCGAAGTCCTACGACACGATCTGTGCGATTGAGTCGAGCCCGGAGAAGAAGAAGTATCTTGTCGGATGTCTTTGGGAAACCCCTAAACCCATGTATACCTAAACCCTTGGGTTTAGGGTTGAGGGCTTAGGGTGTAGGGCTTAGGGTTTATAGGATTTAGGGTTCAGACCCAAACCCTTAGACCCAAACCCAAACCCTAAACCCTAAACCCTACGCCCTAAACCCTAAACCCTATAAAACCCAAAACCCTAAACCCTAGCAACCCCAAAAACACCCTATCTCGCGCTTATATTTGTGTTTTTTATCCCACCATCTTAAATAGTCCCAGAACCCAAGGAAAAACCACAACGGAGAGCCGATACATGCCTAAAACCCTAAATCCTATAAACCCTAAACCCTAAACTTAGGGAGTTTAGGGTTTAGGGTTCAGGGCTTAGGGTTTATAGGGCTTATAGGGTTTAGGGCTTAGGGTTTAGGGCTTGGGGTTTAGGGGTTTAGGGTTTTAGGGGTATATGGGTTTAAGGTTTGAGGTGTTCTCCTGCCCAGGCCAGAGGCTTACAAACTTGTCGCAGCCGCGATCGAGAGGGCTTGCCGAGATTTCGACAACAAGATGGCATCTGTGAAGATTCTGGACTGCACTGCTTTCGCAGAATGTCTATATATATATATATATAGTATATAATTGTATAAGTATGCAATATCTATATATATATGTAAATATGTATAGATATATCAACGGGTATAGAGGGTGTACAGGCTTCAGAGTTTGAAGTAGCGCGCCTGAGGTGTTTCAGGTTACAGCCCAATAAACCCTATAACTGTTTAGGGTTTATAGGCATCTATATATATATATAGGGCCTTTAGGGTCATATACAGGTTTATATACGGTTTAGGGTGTATAAATAATAGGGATTCGGGTTTAAAAGAAATAAAACCCTATATAAATCCTACATAAACCCTATATAGCCGTTGAGGGTTTATAGGCAGAAGCCTTAAGTCCTAATCCCTGAGCCTTAAACCTTATACAAACCCTAACCCTGGAACCCTAAACCCTATATAGCCCTAACCCCTATAAGCCCTAAACCTTATAAGCCCTAGACCCTGTAGGCCCTAGAAAGCCTATATAGCCCTGAACCCTAAGCCCTCAACCCTAGCCCTACAAGCCCTACAGACCCTAAGCCCTAAACCCTGCAGGGTTATAGGGTGTTTGGGGTCATGTACATACTTTTTAGGGTTTAGGGTTTAGGGTACATGAGACCTGTGCTCCCCACACTCCCTGGCACGTCTTTGATCTGAGGACATATTTCAAGAAGGCAGCCCGTGCCAAGAAAGCCCCGGGGCCTGCGCAGGAGTGATGTGAGGAACCTCCCAAAGGGATCATGTTCATCTGTGGGCCATCAAAAATGATGGCATTAATTCTGTCTGCTTCGACATACAGAGCTGCAAGTCAGCACTGCAATTCAGAGTGTAGCCCGTTACTCGGCACGACCCTTCGATCTTAAGATTGGATGTCGAACATGCTCGCAGTGCACATATGGCCCTTTTCAAACCCTCTTTAAAAAAACCCTAAACACTTGGTGGACGATTGTGAAATCATGGACAACGAAGGGATCGTGTTCCGGGCTTGCCGCGCCTGAGACCACTGGGCACGTGTGCACGGCACGAAGAAGCGAAGAACCTCAGCAAATCAATGGGAGCACGCATCGGGGAAGGTTGCTGTAGGCACGGGTGGGAATGGGTGAGAGGGCGTGGGGGGCCTGCACTAACATGATGCCAGGCCTTTCGGAAAGTATGTCTGCAGTGGTGACTGCTCTTGTGGCAACTTGGCAGGCCTAAAGGATTCTTGTAACCCTACACCCTACACCCTAAACCCTACACCTTATAAACCCTAAACCCTAAACCCTTAACCCTAAACCTGAAAGAACCTCAAGGTCGGATATCTGGTGGAAGCCTTCCTCAATGCTATGAAGGGTTTAGAAGTTTACAGGGTCTATATAGGGTTTGGGTAGAGTTTAGGGTTTGTATATATCTGTTAGGGATATACAGGGTTAAGGGTTCCTGAAGGGTATGTTTTTACTCACATCCCAGGCAGGCAATGGGAGCCAGGCAGCTCTGATCGCACGAGGTGCTGCCAGCAAACGCAAAGCCTGGGAGATGGATGCTGACGACTACCATCTCGCATGTCTGGGAGGTTCGGGCAGGTCAACGAAGAACAGTCTTCGCAATGTACTCCGTGGCATGAATCGGCTAGGCTATAGTATCTCTCTGAAGATAACATGGATTCCGAGGGTGCCAGTATGTGATGTTGGTCCTGTGGATATTCCTGCCATCGGTCTACTTGACATGCTGCAGTACATCCTGGATTCAGGACGATCGCATATGTTGCTGGGCGGCCATGACATTGGGGGGGACACATGGTGCAAGGTCCTGAACCAATTCTGGCACAGGTTTGAGAAACACGACCCGACACACTGCATCTTTCGAGATACCAGCAAATCCGAGCGTGATTACCTCATCCCTCTACTGGCTTATGGTGACGAAGGGACTGGCAAACGCAAACACCCGGTTTGGGTTCTAGCCTGGAAGCCGGCTCTCTTCAGCAACATGAACAGCTACTTCAGGACGATTCTCATTGCAACAGCTTCTCATGCACTTTATTCACAGTTCCACTGTGGATATGCTGGCGGCAACCAATGCCTAGACGCCATCCTTGACCACTTTATCAAGGAAGCCCGAATTGCTTACCACCAAGGCCCTCCAAGTCAACTTGAAACGGTAGGGTTTAGGGTTTAGGGTTTATAGGGATTAGGGTTTAGGGGTTTAGGGTCTAGGGTTCAGGGTTTAGGGTTTAGGGTTTAGGGTTTAGGGTTTAGGGGGTAGGGTTTAGGGTTTAGGGTCTAGGGTCTAGGGTTTGGCTGTGCATTTGTATAGTCTCCATTTTTTTGGTTCACCTTAACTCTCTGGACCCTATAAGCATGCAGGCTTGGTGTATGATGGCCCTCATGGTCGAGTTCGTGTCAGATTCGTGTTTACGGGTGTTTGTGGGGATATGCCCTTTCAAGCACATGTTTTCAGACAAGGCCGAAATTACAACGCCACATACTGTTGTCCTTGGTGCTGCTGCACACGAGACGAAGCAGGAGATGTGACAGACCATCCGAGCTGGCTGTGCACTATGGGTGTTCCACCGTGGCCGGAGGACGAGCCACCACCTCTCACCGCCGTTCCAGGTTTGGACCAACCACAATCAAGCCGTCCTGACATTTTCCATATTGGGCCTCTTGGAGTCTGCAGAGACCTCTACCTGGGCGGTATACTCATTCTGATTCACTTGTCACACTTTCTGTCTTCAGATGGCAGCCGTGCACTCGACAGCAAACTTAAATCGGCCTTCAAGAACTTCAAGCAGTTTTGCCAGGAGATCCATGAAACGCCGACGGTAAAGGAATGGACAAAGGAGAACTTTCGCCGCACATCTGCAGGGGCATACCCTGATTGTTCGTTTAAGGCTTCTGATGCTCATTTGATCCTTAAGTGGCTTGAGAACTATTTGAACTCTGGCCCTTGGCGTGATGACGAAGGTGTCTTGGAACTTTTGCTAACTGCAGTGGGGAATGTCAACCGGTTCTACAGGACTTGTTTCTCGAAAGTACTTTGCTGTAAAAAATGTTATGTTTGTGCTATATAAAATTGTCAAGGTTGTAAATACTTCCTTTTTCGCCAGTTTTGGTGCATGTAAGGCTATACGGCTCCCAGCCGGCAGTGGTTGTATGAGGCGAATGCATTGGCAGCAACATCATCTTTACAGCTGTTCTTCTCCAGCTACTACAGCCTGGCGCAGTGGGCATATGATCATGAGATCTGCCTTTTTCGCTTTACACCAAAGTTTCATGCATTCAAGCATGTGCATTTGGCCCTCTTGAAGGAGCAAAGCCGTGGCAAGCCCGGCAAGCGCTGGACGCATAATCCTGCAATGTATGCCACGGCCAACGATGAAGATTTCATCGGCAAAGTGAGCCGTCCCTGTCGCATTTTGCACTCGGGCAGTGCTGAATTGAGACGTCTAGAAATTTATCGTGTCGAGCTGTGCAAAGCCTGGGTCTGAACTTTCTATGTATCTGTATTTGTATGTTTCGATTTCTTCACTATATAACCGGCAAATATGCATATCTTCGCCTCAATATACTGTCAGAACGCCGAAGCACCCAAAGCCCTGTAATTCACTCAGCGCTCGGCCATTGCAAGACGGAGATGGACCAGCACCGAGAAGGCATGGAGAAAGGTTGAAGGGTTTGGGTTGATCTAGGGTTGTGTATAGTGCTGAAGGTTTGGGGCCGTCAAGGTTTTTGAGCTTGGGGGCTCTACATGGCTTGGGGCTCAGAGTTTACATGATTGAAGGGCTCAATGTACTTTGAGACTGCAACGCTGCTTCCCTAAACCCTACCACGCTATGCATTAACCCTAAACCCTCTAAACCCTGTACATATACGATGTTTCAGTCATATAAAACCTAAACCCTCCAAACCTTGCATCGATTTTACGATGTTCAGTCATCCTTATAAACCCTAAACCCTCCGAACCCTTTATGTAAATTGGTGTAACCATATATACTTGGTGTCCGCCCGAACACCAAAAAAAAGAACTACAAAGGAGACTACAGGTAGGGTTTAGGGGGGGTGATGACGACAGACTGGTTCCGAGGGTGGGGGCGTTCGCGGAGCCAGAAGGCTTTCCACTAGGGAGCTGGTCATGGTCCGGGATCGGGGGCTTCGCGCTTGAGCTTCTTAACCTCAAACCTCAAGCGCCCCGGACCCTGAACAGTAAACCCTGAACCCTAAACCCTAAACCCTAAACCCTAAACCCTACGTGCCTCCAGTACTAGACAAGGCTCAACCGGGCCGGGGTGGCTTTCTAAAGACCCTCTCGAACCACTTGAGCAGGCGATAGGCGAGCTCTTCTTGTCTGACATCCTCAGTGGATGCTTCAGAGATTGCCTTTCAAGGGATCTGGGGATGATGGAGGGTGGTGGGTTTAGGGCTGGGGAGGTACGGGACGGTGAGGGTTAGGGTGCTGCTGAAAGTGCTTGCCATGAACTGAGCTTTGGAGCTGTGGCCCCGACATCGGCGTTGCTCTTGACGATCAACGGGATCATGCTCCAGTTCCTGCTGCTGAGTGGGACAGTGGCTGAAAGAGCGGCTTCAGAAGACCCAAACCGAAAGCCAAAACCCCAAACCCTAAACCCCAAACCCAAAAACACCTTCTGTCCCGAAGTCCCAAACAATTTTCAGCGCCCCTGCGACCCTGAACCCCTCTCGGATCAAGCTCGCAGTGCGCATGCGGGGAAGGTGCAGTGTTGCGAGGCATTTGTTTGCCCCCAAATCTGAGGGTCCGCAACACTGATATTACAAGTAGTGTCCTTGCTACATAATTAACACCTTGAACCCTAAACCCTGAACCACTTAGCCCTGAACCCCATCGACTCTGAGCAGTCAACTCCCTGGTGTGCATCCGAGCCGAGCTGCGGCCGACGCCCGAAGTCGCTCTGCGCCCGGACACGCTGCACAACCTGCATCAGAGCTTCGGGTTTGTGATGTTCCCCCTTATACTAACAGTCCTTGATAGGGAGTGTAATAGAGGGTACTATAATCCCTATTTGGAGGGAGAACATCCCAGCTTAGGGTTTAAGATTGGTGGGGTTCCTCAAAGCCTCTGTAACCCTGGCGGAGCAGGGTGATGGGGTTTGGAGCTCAGGATTTAGAGTTCAGGGAGTAAAAGGGTCATACACATGCATGATGTGCCTTCTGCATCCAGCTTGAGTCCTCACCACTCTGAGAAACCCTAACCCCTGAACCGCAGAACCCAAGAACCCCAAACCCGATACCCTAAACCCCAGAAGCCTGACCCACACACCCCCCCCCCCCCCAAAAAAAAAAAAAAAAACAAAAACTAATAATAATAATAATAAAGTCTGCTGTCGGCCTCAGACCACGTCTCGTCATGGAACGCGCCCTTTGGGCGAGCTTCCCTGTCCGGACTGAATTAGGGGTGTAGGTGTTTAGGGTTTAGGTTGCTCATCCTAAACTGTCCTAAACCCACCCTAAACCCTAAACCCCTCATTTAGTGTCCATCCCTCGTCTCCCCGGTTCTACGTACCTGAGAGGTCACTTGGCAGATCCTCGCCTCAGGGTTGAGGGTTGATAGGGATTGCAGGGTTTATGGGGTTTATAGTGTTTACAGGGTTTATGGGGTTTATCGGCTCTATAGGGTCTTAGGGTTAAGGGGTTTAGGGCTTTAGGGTAAATTAGGGTTGGAGTGTTTAGGGTTTGCGGTTTGACTGGGGGAAGAAGGAGTTCATAAGGCCTAGAAGGCTTGGGGGGTGAAGTGTTCGGGTTTACGGTCTTGGCTTTAGCGGGCTAGGGTTTAGGGTTTGGTAGGTGAGGTAGTGTTAAGGGCTCAGCTTCTCGCTTAGGAATCAAGGGCCAGTTAAGAGCCTGAAAGCAGCGCCAGCTCAACAGTTAACCCCCATTCTGCCCTTAGCCCCAAATCCCTAAAACCAAGAGACCCATAAACCCTGAACTTCAGACCCTCTGTATCCTGAAGCCCTAAACCCTAAACCCTAAACCCTGAACCCCAAACCCTAAACTTTCTGATATCCTTAAGCCCTAAAAACCTCGCCTGCTGCTTCTGGAGGTGGATGGCGAGCAGTCTTCCGGGGGCCAACTCTTTGGCGGAACTGGGGCAACGGTCGGCAGTTGAGCTGAATTCAGGGTTTAGGGTTCAGGGTTCAGGGTTTAGGGTTAGGGGGTAAAGGGGGGATGGGGGGGGGGGGGGGGCGTTATGGTCGTGTGTTTACGTTAACTCGGAAATAGTGAGGTTCTTCTCTCAAGAAGTCGGCCAAGTTAGCAGAGCCGCAAAGCCTGATTATCGGAACCCCCCAGAGGTGTACCCCTAAACCCCTAAACTGTAAACCCTAAACCCTAAACCCTTTAAACCCGAAACCCCAAACCGTACCCCTAAACCTAAACCCTAAAGCCTAAACCCTAAACCCCAAAACCCAATTCTCACAATACCCACCACTGTTGCCTGCGGCGAAATGGTGCGTAGCCTGGACTGGCCTTGGACAGCTGCGGTTTTAAGCTGCAGGCGGCTTTGGGCTTCAAGTGCATGCATCAACCCTTAAAACCCTATAAAGCCTATAAACCCTCTAAGCCCTACGAACCCTACAGATCGTCATGACTGTCCCCTGTAAAACCCCGCTAAATCCACTAAGCCTATAAACCGTAAACCCTGCAAACCCTACCCCAAACCCCGCCTAAACCCAACATGTTTGGGCTCAGGGTTGTCCATGCTACAAAACGTGCGGCAGCCCTCGGGGCTCCCACGATTTCCGGCCCCCACAAAGCCGTCTCAGCAGCCTCACATATCGGGTTTTGGGTTTAGGCTTGGGGTTTGGGGTTTAGGTTTCGGGGCTTAGGGTTAGGCTTTGGGGTTTGGGGTTTAGGCTTTGGGTTTTAGGGTTTAGGCTTCGGGCGTTTGGGTTTAGGCTTGTTAGGGGTTTGGGGTTTGGGGGTTTAGGGTTACGGGCTTGAATACAAAGTCCTAGCCTGATCTGGTTACCTCGTCACCTTCCGACAGCTGGAACATGTCCGTCAATCATATTGGGGTGGTTGTCAAAACTATGGTCCCTTTTGGGGTACCCTAAATATGAGGTGCCGTATGAGAGTAGGGATCCAAAAAGGGGCCATCGTTTTGACAACCAACCCATAGCCCGACACCCGTGACTCATGACTCTCAGGTGCAACGGGCCTGACACAACACACCATGCAACATCAACAACCCAATACATAAGAGCTGTCACCAGCCCCAATACGTAGGAGCTGTCACCACACCTTCACCATGCTTCCCGCAAATCACCTCAAGCTTCTTCAGGAAACCTTGCAGGTCCCTTGATTTCCTGGATCACACTAGAAGAACGCAAGCAAGCTCTAAGGCCCAGCAAGCAAGACTGCAGCTGCCGAGAGCTCCTCCCACTTAAACGCTCCCTGAACACCAAAAGCCCTCAACCCTAAACCCTAAACCCTTAAAAGCCCCAATGGCATGAACATTTAAAACAATCCCCAAGCCCTGAACCCCTGAAACCCCTTAAGCCCTTACCCTCAACCCTAAAACACCTAAAACCCCTATGAACCCTAAACCCGAAACCCGTAGAAACCCTACAGTAACATCCAGAAAGTTGGAACATTGTTTAAGGATGATTCGAGCTTGGAATTCCCTTTGGTATACCTTTTGGGGGTACGGGGGGATCAGGACGTTCCAACTTTTTGGAGCGCGCCGCCCTAAACCCTAAACCGCAAACCCCAAGCCCCAAGCCTTAAACCCTAAACCCTAAACCCTAAACCCTAAACCCTAAACCCCGTATGGAATCCTAAGTCTGGCTCATGTCTGGGGATGCGGGCCCCGGTCGCCCAGGGCGGTCAGACGTGAAGGGCTTCTCTTCAACCTCTTCTCGTGTTTCGCTGAACGTGGGCTTACGGTTTAGGGTTTAGGGTTTAGGGTTTAAGGTTTAGGGTTTAGGGGGTTTAGGGCCTTTAGGGCTTTTGCGGCCTTTAGGGCTTTTAGGGCCTTTAGGGTTTAATGGCTTCGGGCTTGATTGAGTGGTCTGGAGTTAAGATTCGGATTTTGGTTTGGGGTTTTTGGGATCACGAGGCTATCAATTCTCGATGATTTTGCTTACTTGTGCATGCTCACGTGAGTATACTTGCCTTTGGGCAATTGAAGCCAACTTGATGAGGCCAAGACAAGTCAAGTAATCTTCGGGCACGAAAAGCCCTATTCTACTTATTAAGGCCCCTATATTATAGGCACAGGAAGGCCAGCAGTTTCCCTGCCACCTCCATCATGACCATGTAGGGCGCCCGTGCTTTGGAGGAGAGCACCCGAGCCTGCCAGGGCAATTTGCAGTTTACCCCTACGTTGCACTCTTCCTCGATCCCCCCCACTCCCTCCACCCCCCCGCCCAAGCCCCCAAGTAGCCCCGTTTCCCTGTTTCAGATACCCTAAATATCCACCTTCATGAAGGTGCACTGAGACCCTTCTTAAGGGGTA